GTTGCATTTACTATGCTTTTTTACACACTTAACGTAGTTATCTAAGGATAAAGTTAACACATAAAACAACCCTAAAGACTAGTAAGCGCTATAGGGCCTTATTTTTATCTAACAAAGAGGATTAAAACAACAAATAATGCAGAAATAATAAGATAAACAAGACTAATAAGCTATTTAGCATAGAATAAATAAATGTTAAGGATGCTTTTTAGTAGGCAGGCGCTTACCTTATAAATAAACTCTTACTAACACAGTTGTGTGAGCAGAGCGGCGAGGACGCTGCTAGGGAGAGGGGGCAGCGTGTTACGGTCTACAGTTGGACCAGCGTAACCCCACCAGCAGTGCTCCACAATCTAGCTGGATTGGGGCAGGGCTCGCTTATGGACTAATTAGAGGACGCGGAGGCAGCACGGCTACCTAAGATTATAGAAGAATGCGTTATCTAATAAAAGGACAGGCTGCGCACTACTAAGAGCTTAGGGAGCCTAAGGAGCCCTCCTTAGCAGACTCCTGCAAACTCCTCTAACTCCCCTTAGCTTCCCCAGCACATGTATATAGTTTCTATATTAAACAACCTTTAAAAGGTGTGTTTAATATTTAGTTTATTTATTTACATAGACTAAGTAGCATTTAGATTTCTAAAGAGCTGTAATACTAATTATATATCTTGCACTATATATACCTCTAACCCTGTCCGCAAGGACTGTTTAACCCCGGCCTCCCTACTGCCGCACATAGGGCAAACCACGATCTGGTCACCCTCAACCATTCTCCATTAGCCCAATAGCCCGTACGTAGGACTGTACACCCTACCGGATTGGCCCCTACTTTCCGTCCTACTACCCCCGTAGGAAGATCAATAGACCCGAGTGCTTCCCGAAGCAAGGATTGTAACAGGCGCGTACCGCGTCACATGCTCTGCGGCATCAGCTCCCTCGCTTGCGCAACAAGTAGCACGCTAGTGCTACAAGTAGCGCCTTGGCAGAGGGCACACATGTATATTTAAACTCGCAGAGCAGCTTCTCTGCTCCTTAGTTTAATCTAGTTGAGTTACACCACCTCTTGCTTGTAGCTTGAGCATGCCGACCGTGACAAACATAATTAGATAGACTTATATAAATAAAAAGAAGGTAACTAGTATAAAAGGCAACTTTTTAGATAAAAATAAAAAGTTACTAGTATCTATACACAGTAGTAGTGTTATAGTCTACATACTAGTTATTGCGCATAAGGAAAAATTACATAACTATGTTATATAATACTTGTGTGTAAACCTCTGTGTGTAAACATTTAGATATTCCCCTTTTTCTCTGTATAGAGAAAAAGACAGAGCAATAAACTAGAAACATGTTGCCTCTAGCCTACCTACTTTGTACGCTGTGCACACTGTACATTACTCTTACTCTTGCTACTTAAGTGCTTATACTATAAGCAGCTAGCTAAAAGAGCCTATTTAACAAACATACTAAATAACTTTTATAAGCTAATTCTGTAGCCTACTTATAAAAGCTAAATAATAATAAAAATAGATAATTATTAAGCAAATACTTAAGCTAGTAGCTATAGCTAATATAGCTAATTCTTTATACTTTAAGTATAATCTAGGCTATATTAACGTACTTCACAGGCTGTAACGATTCTCATGAATCGTCCCATCTCGGGTCGCCCGGAATCTATCCGAAGGGTCTCCGTATCGGCTCCGACCCTGGCTCGACCCTGACT